GCAGCAACGTATATACGATCGGAAAATGAAAATCTGACCATGTCGCGGATATTAAAATGTTTGATTCCGACTGTCTCCATGACGTGTTTAACAGTGTCTTAAGGCCTTAAATAGAATTTAGAAGCCTGCTTTCCCCACTCACATTGCGGAAACATGAGGGAGAGAGCAGGACGACAAATTATTTTGACAAAATACGATCAAAACCGATGACCAATGAAGAGTAGAACTCAGTCAAAGTAAATTTACCGTGGCCCAATATATGACAAACACTATTAGTTATCCACCTCACCACATACTTGGCTTCGGCGTCCGTCTCTGCACAAATCTTTGGGTGCTTCCGTAAGAGTATATAAAGCTAATTATCTAGGAATAAATATATATTATATTATTATTATATTATAGTGTATTCTACTGTTTGAGTCATCATATAATAGAAAACTGGAAGTGCTCACTACGCTGACAGAAACATTCGTTTGGAACTTACTTCCGATGACTTCCTAATGAAAGGCGTGTAAAGAAAAAAGGGAAGTCCCGTGTCTCCAGCCACAATCAGGAAGTGATATCCGAAAAGTAGAGTGACATTTTTATGCTGCGCAGTAACTTCTGCTTTTGTTGTGCACATCGCATCAGAGGCTTTTTGGTTTACTTTAACTGGTTTTGATAAGTTGAAGTATTGCCTGTTTTGTTCGCTTTTGCGACTTTCTGTGTGCTTTTTATGTCCCTGTGTTTTTATATATATATACATGTTTGTCTGTGTAATCTAAACAACTTATACCAACATGAGTTTCACTAATAGCTGTGGATGAGAGATAACAGTTATAGGTATGGAGGTAGTAGAGTACTTGTGCAAGGATTACAACAAGATAAATTTTATGTAACGAATCACGCAAAAATGTAACGCAAACGTTGGACGTACCGCGTTGTATGACCATACTGTAACTTTCCGATGATGCGATGCAGTGTGATAACTGCAACCTATGGTTTCATAAACGTTGCACTGGCTTATCACTGTTAGCCTATAGGAGACTTAGCAAGCCATCGTCTTCGTGGGTGTGTAAAGTTTATTTCAGCCCACTGACATCTTCATCCAAGAGGCCGTAGGGCTTTCTGTGTCCAAACAATCGACAAAAGTCTCACATGAGGGAAAAAAGCCAAAACCTGAAATTGATGCCAGGAATGATGATTCTAGACTGAGTTATAAGAGTGAGACAGAACAACATCCCGAAGCGGTATACACAGAAGAGTTACAGTGTGCCAAAATCCTTCTACGGCACGAAACTGTCCCGAAAAACTAGGGGTCAGGTAGTGTTAACTTTGTAAGACAACCGGGTGATACTAGCACGACAAGGCTTTGCGTGTCTGGTGAACGCATGGCTTCCAGCTGCGGTGGCAGCAGAGTGGAAGTAACTAATTCTACTTGGTTAGTGCCAAAAAACAGGAGGCCGAAGAATTATGGGAAAGAGAAAGTGACTGGTCTTAGTGATAAAGTCTTGACGGCCGTAAACACTAATAAGATTGCGAAACGTTCAGACTCAGATAACAGTATCGTAACTTGGAGGAATCAAAGAAGTTAGATCCAGCTGCCCGACATGTAGTTAACTTCACGATTTGTGAAGTACTTCCTGAAAAAACAAATGGAGTTCACATAAGGAAAGTAATCAGAACCGATAAACGAAATTCTGGTGCAAAGGAAAGTTCCCCAAGACTGCTAAAGATAGTGCTAGGGAACGAGATGGAGAAAAGCAGTATTCGCAGCAACGCACTTAAGATCAAGGACAAACGATAATAACAATATGTATTTCGTATAAACGGGTAAGTTTACATGAAATGCATGCCATTTTTGCAGGCACGAACAGTTATGTTATAAATTACAACCATGAATTAGCTTAGATTAGCACATTTTCAAAGGTTTAAATTGTTGAATTATAGTACAAGCAGTCAGAACAGGTTCTCATAAATGTTAAATTGCAAGCCCTTCACTGAGGTCACCTTCAAAGCTGAGCAACAACCCAAACTTCTTTCCGTTTCCTGCTGATAGTTATGGACAACCGATAAACAGCAAATATTTGGGTAAGTGCTATGCCACCCACGTGATTGAACGCTATTTCAGGAAGAGAAGAACGTCTTGGGAACTGCAAAATGGTATAAAATGCAACTGCGGATAATACATCATTGGAAGTGCATTTACAAGATAAATACAAGAAGGAGCTGGAGACTCCTTGGAATTACTGTACACATTTGCCCAACTGGCCGCTGTAAGATAGAACCAAGAGAAGAGAAGCCGTGGCTCAATTAAAGGCCTAACTGGAAAAAGGTGAAAAGTCCTTAAACTTCTGGGTTTTGGGTTAGTGAGGTCTCGGAAACCATTGTTACCCAGACTTCTGTTCACAAGTCTAGTAGATCTTTCGGTATGCTATACGAACACGTTGTCTTAGGAATAAGCTCCCCGAATTAGGAGTATATATGAGTGACTGCAACTTGATATGATCGATACCACTGAAACATGGTTTTTAATGGGTGTAGACTTAGCTCCAATCATACCTGGGTACATCTGCGTTGGAACAGACAGAGTAATTAGTCGGAAAGTTGGTGGGGTTGCCCTATACATCCGGGATGACATGGGAATTAGATCACCGTTGTCGGAAGCTGGTGATAGCGGCAACAGTGAAGCCGCTGGCCGTGTCATTAACTTGAACAAGGGCACTGTAACAGTTAGGGTTATTTACAGAAGTCCTGCCAGTCAAGCTAACGATTTCTTACTAAATCACTTCAGGATGTGAAGCAGTTGAAATATGTGTCTAATAGTAGGTGACTTTAAAAACCAACATATCAACTGGGAGGAACTAACGTCAACTACCTTGTATACCTGTTTCGACGGGGAACTCACACTACCAGTGCTTGAATGCGTAATTGTGCCGCGTAGAGATGCACCGACACGATACCACCCTGGACATAATTCGTCTGCTCTAGACTTGCTGCTAACACCAGAGGGAGGATGTTGGTGGCACTAGGTGCCTGGCGCCACTAGGCAGTGGTGAACATACAGTTATCACTCTTACGTTTAGGATTCACGCTGTCATGCATAAGTGAACAGGCGGCCGTCCAAACATTTGGAAAGCGAATCCGCAATGCAGCAACCCTAGCTGACTGGTCTGTTGATACACGCCAGACTCCCAATACGTTTGCGATATCTTTTCATCCAGCTAAACCACTCAGGAGTATAGCGAGGTCACTGCTGTGGCCACTAAAATGCCCTCAAATATGGATGAGGATGCGGTGGTTCTCAAACTATTGTCTAAGATGAAGCCAGGCAAATCACGTGTACCCGGAGGATTTCACCCTAGACTGCTAATCTCCTTGGCGGAAATAACATACATTCCACCCACAGAGATTTTTCAGACGTGTCTGACCCAGGCCAGGCTACCCAGGGACTAGAAAGATGCTTTTGTAAACCACACCTTCAAAGAGGGGAACAGGCAGTTAGTATCAAAATACCGGCCTGTAAGTCTGACCTGTATTATAGCAAAGGTACTGGAAACACTCATAAGGGATCAGCTCTCAGCTCACATGGGGCGGTGGAACAGCAAGGATTCTGACCTGGACGGTCCTGCCTGACAAAATCACTTTTAGCTAGGGAAGATTGGGTCAAAGCCAGGGATAAGAACCATCTATGGGACGTTGTCTTTATCGATCTTAGTAAAGCATTCGGTAAGTTATCCCATTTAGGTCTTAGTAAATTCAAACGTTTTCGATTAGACCAACTCCTATGTGAGTGGTTTAATGACTACCTGACGGTTAAAAGGCAGAAGGTAAGGGTTAATGGAGCACTATCAGGGCGGAAAGCAGTACTAAGCAGAGTACCCGAAGGAGCTGTACTTGGCCCCCTGCTATTCCGCTTATGTGTAAATGAACTTCCGAAAATTCTTACCTCATCTTCCTTATTATTTTCGAACGATATAAAGTAATGGAAAACTGTAAATAATAACGACAATAGGTTGGCCCTACAAAGTGACTTAGATAAATTAGCTGAGGAGTCGAAGTTGTAGAGTTTGTAAATTAATTCTAGGAAAAGTGAGCTAATGCGCTCAGGTCAGAAGTCTTACACGTCGTACTTCCTAGAGGACACAGAACTACCTGATGTTAACAGACAGAAGGACCTAGGAATCATTATCAGCAATGATTTGAAAACAACTTCAAATCGCAGTGCAGCCGCAGGTAAGGCTTTTCGAATGCTATAGGCACTCAAGAAAGCTTTCAAAAGATTACATGAGTGTACGTTCAAGATACTCTAGACAGCGAATGTCACGCCTCATCTAGAATACTGCATACAAGTGGCTAGTCTATCCCTCAAGAAGGAGGGACATATCATAGAAAGAGTACAGAGGGTAGGAACCAAATTATCTAGTGGTATTTCACACCTTCCTTATGACAAAAGTATGGAGTATTTAAATCTGTTCCCGTTATCATACCGAAGGAAGAGACGTGACTTAATTTTAGCATACCGTATACTTGAAGGCGATTTAGGAGCTAACCTTTCTAATCTTTTCACCACTTCTAAGGTTACATTCACGAGCTCACAACAAGAAGGTGCTCAAACAGAGGTCGAATAAAATAAGTGTAGAATTTAGGTTCTGCCATAGAGTGGGCAACGACTGGAACTCCTTACCTGATTCAGTAGTAACAACTCCATCGATGAACGCTTTAAAAGAGCAGCTAGATCTCTGCAGAGATATATATTGTAGGAATTAACACAGGCAACAAGAGCCTTCTATCCCTATAATCTGAATCTAAAGTGATATCCGAATGATTCTGTTAGGAATATACTGTCAGTGAACTACTAAATTATTTATTTTCTGTCACTCATTAATGGTTTTTTGAATAGTTTCGTGTTATAAGAAACATGTTATCAAATACTATTAGACGGGGATATTACGTAAGCGAAAGGAGCATCCGTGTTTGAACGTGTTTCCTTACAACCGGCAATTCCGACTTCTAGGTCAGTTATGTGTGAAACAGCCTTGAGCTTGTCTAAGTTGTTTTAGCACAAGTTAAACTTTGAGTACCAGTAAGCGCCAACAAAAAGATGACCTTAGACGCACCAGCCACATAATAAAGACTATTTTTGCGTATTAAATGCATATATTTATGAAAATAATGAATTTAAAAACATGAACCTGTTACATAGGATACCTTTCTTTAACATGTCAGAAATGCCTCTTGGTTTTGGATTGGATTACCAACAGAGTAATTCTACCACATTTTATGTATGTAGTTACCTAGGTCTTCTAATCCCAACAATAACTCTAATTTTTCTTCAAACCAACCCTAACGTGAAAACATCCCTAAAATCTAACTCGAACCAACTGTTGTTTCGCCCTCATTAGGTTAACCTAATCTTAACTTGTCCCTAGCCTAAAACTTAACGTAATCTTTCCCAAACCTAACCGGAAACTTGCCAGATATCCTATTTATTAAAATAATACTCCACCAAGCATGTTCCACTTATGATTACAAATTTATTTACCAGGTTTCACTTACTTTCTCGTTGGCCGTTTCAAAGTCATTGGTATCGTCGCACTTCATGGGTGCTTGCTGGTTCTTGACCGACTTCAGTCATACCTAAGCCAATATTATAAAAGCACTTGTTCATTAAAATCAACTGGATCGTTTCCTTACTATATTCTGTCGATGGTGCTTTAGACAGGAACTAGGGCTGTTACCACAGTAGTAATGGAGTAATTTAATGGGTAATATCAGAATAAAGACTATGCAAGTATTCTACGAGCTTGTCTCTTTCGAGTGTGTATGGATGGCGATCACAAACTGATAAACTGCCATGTAACATACTAGTTACATTACCTCTGAATTGAGCCGAAAGTCACAATCCCTGTAATAATCCCAAGTGAACTAGCCTTACTACTACAATATTATCATATCCTATGGTCAGTAATCTTTTTAAACCTTATGAATAACATGTCTGATGAGACCGTGCAGAGCCACACACACACACAGCCATGAGTATATGTGCCAGACCGACATTCTGCTTCAAAATCAGCACTTCTCAATACCCTACTGGTGATACTTTCCACCTGTGCGAGTATCAACCCCGTGGAATAACTACATCACTTTTAATGTAAGCAGGGATGCTTTAAGGATGACTGCGTTAGCAGGATAACAAGATTAGTCGGTACACAATGTGTCACCGACTTTTGACTCAGTGTGATTTATACATGGCAGTGCTAGTTTGTTTGGTATTCTAGAAATGTTAAAAATAACTGATGAGAAAACTCTGCGACACGATTCGCAGCTGATAATAACAAATTAGATATTTACGTATAGAAATTTCAAGCAATGCTACTGATTTGTATTTAGCTGTTCTGTTTTTTCATTTTGTGTAATTCCTCTGTTCTAAGTCACTTTATACTTACATTAATCCAAATATGTAAGGTAGATCTACTATTTTCGAAATATATTAGGTAGTCTCCCATTGTGTGCAAGTGAAATCAATAACCTGTCGGCATATTTGGTCGTTAGGCACCAGATGTACCCACGAAATTGTGAATGATTATTTAGGTTTTTTACTACTGCCGTTTTCGTCTAGTCAAACCTTATTTTGCAAATACGCAGTAACAATAGACCCATTCTAATCCGAAAATGGTACGCAATATGACCTTAACCAGAGGCTGATGTGTAAGAATTCAACTACGCAAAATCTGATTTGAGGGTTAACTTGTTTCACTTTGTTAGTGTGAGAAAATTACAATGTTGTGTGGTGCTTGGCTCTCTGTGCAGGCTTTACCGAAATATACACTGTGATTACTTTTTGATATGGATGTTAATTCAGCGCATTCTGCAACTATACAGTTCTATGAATAAGAGAGAACTGCAACATCTGTGAACCTTACATCTTCAGTGACTTTCACAGTCATTTGTGTAGTAGGACTTAAAAAAATGTGTGCAAAATGAATTCATCCTTCGATTACTTGCGGTATACTAAAAGAGGTAGAACAGTTTTTCTGTTGACAGATTCTAAACGCGATCATTTCATCAGCCCTAAAGATAATTCTAAAACATGAAGTAGTCATTTGATTCTGCTACTGTTGTATTGATGGTTAAACTGGGTATAAACTTGTATTAGAAACATGCTAATTGTGCGTGAAGAATTTGAATGTTTTCACAAAAGACGTTCTTCTTGCATCTCATGGGAGAGAGGATTACATAGAATACCACTCATATCTTCTGCTGAGAAAAAGAACATTCATGTGTCCCAAAGGGCAGATATTTAATCAAGCACTCATGTTATGCCTTACAGCAACCAATCAATTAACGTTACTATATTGAGTATTTTCCATCATTGACGTCATAATACCTTCCAAAATGATGGGGTTTAGCCCTAAGAAACTTAAAATAGCTAAAGAAACGTTTCCTTCGAGCTGAAAACATTTTTTTCAACCTAATGTAAGGTGTGATAAGATACTGTGGTATAAAAACCTGTTAATGTTTTCAATTCTTTCCTCCAATGAAACAGTTCTCTTAGGGTTTTAGGTACAATTTAAGCAATTTTTCGAGGTGCATATTTTGATCTGCTTGATATTAAATGTTATTGTACACAAAAGATGAAATGCAATTCAATAAATCTGCTGAAGAAGCTGTGGTTAACACAGCGAAACGTACAGAAAAATTTTGTTTTTGATTTTCTTAACACGCTGGGATTAATTTAAATAATTTACAGTGTATCATTTCAATGACTGTTTGCAGAAATAAGTATTTGGCGACAAGTTTTAAGAGTTTTTTGAGGGAGTTTTAATACTACTTAGTAGTGAATATCTATATGTAAGGCAGGTTTCTGTCTGTCTGTTTTCGATATAGAACTTTGCAGGTTTCGAGCTTGAGGACTCATTTGTCATAAGTCGAGTAGCGATCTCATTTAGGTACAACTTTAGAACTAATATCTATGTACACACCATGTCTCATAGCCATTCTGCCGTTGAAGTGGGCCGTATAACGAAGGGGAAATATTTCGTTTAGTTTCTGTAGCGCAACCCTACATGATTCACTCGTGGTTATATGTCCACCAGACTGTCTTTCAATATTTTAATATTTTATGTGACTGATTCAGATTCAGATTTATTGGTTGAGGATAGAAGACTTGTTGCCTATGTTAATCCTTTTCTAGTAAATTTCTGTGGTTGTCCAAACCCTTCTTGAACTAATCAGTTGAGGTTGCAGACACCACTTCTTATGGGAGTCGGTTCCAAGAGTTTATAACTCGTTGTGAGAACCAGTACTCAACAGCAATAGGATTTCTTCTTGGCTTTTGAACGCTCCTGCTATGTCCTCTAAGGTGTTCCGACCTGTTAGGAAGAAAGAGAATAGATCAAGTCCATTGTCATTATTTAAAATTTTAAACATTGTGATTAAATCTCCTCTCTGCCAACTGTATGACAGGGAGAAGAGATTTAAACTGTCTAGTCTTTCCTCGTATGTTAAGTTAGTCATACCGAGAACCATACGTGTCGCCTTCCTTTGAACCCTTTCTAGAATGTGTGAGTCCCCTTTAAGGCAAGGACTGGCATCCTGGATACAGTTTCCCAGTCTTGACCTCACCAGAGATGTATGCAAGGAGGTGAACATATCTCTGGGGATTCTAGTAAAGGCTCTACAAATTGCCCTTACGAATTTGAAACTACGTGCAGCCACCGCGCGACAGTGTACTGTAGTTTTTAAGTCGTGACTTATTATGACACCTAAATCCAAATTAGTCTGAACTGATGGGAGTTTTATTCCCTCTAGTTCGTAGGGGCTGATGCTAACGTCTCCAATGTACATGGTTGCACATTTCGCTACATTGATAGGGAGCATCCATTCTCTGGACCACTCTAACAATTTTTCGGTCTTCATGCAGCGTGAGCGTATCACTGTCGCCCTTCAGCTCTCTTCAGATTTTCAAGTCATCTGCGTATAGGACCATTGGGGAATCCGTGAGATAACTCATTGATATACAGAATAGATAGGAGAGGCCCGAGTACCGTGCCTTATGGCACTCCGCTACGAAAGGACTTTAAGAAATCCCATTGTGTTACAATTTATGCTTATACAACTTTACCAAAATCACCTATTTCTCAATCGTTTGCTTCTTTCCACGAAAATAGATGGTTTCACTGGATATTCCTCTTCCGACATTTGAAGAGCTCACAGTTCCAGAGCTAAAACTCTCAGCTTGCCCATTGTTGGCAGCAGGTATACATCTGGGGAAATTCTGTGATAATGAATGCAAGGTAGGTGGGTATCTTAACTTAATTCAACTTTTTCTTATTTACAGGAATTTATGCTATGTCACTATGAAACACATGATCCTAGAGCATGTTTAGAACAGGGAAAAGCAGTGACTAGTTGTGCTCAAAAATTCTTCAGACAAGTAAAAAAACATTGTGATGAGGAATTTCGTAACTACTACACTTGTCTACACAAACATGGAGGACCTTCTTACAGTTTGAAAAAGTATGTTATTTTCTCTTATTGAATTGTACAAATTTTTTGATTTTTGATTACAGCTTGATTCCACACTGTATTTTTGGTACAAGTATGGAATTTTCAGCATATGATATCGGTAGCCCAAATTTTGCAGGCCGACCATTGATATTAGGTGTGCGTCGGCAGGGGTTTGAATCCCGGACCATGTGCATGGTCGGCGAGAGTCCTAACCACTGTGCCACCGACGCATCCTGTTTACTGTTTTGTCATTGTTAGTTAACCCAGACTGCTCATATTTTATTTTGATGTATGGCACAGTTGATCAATTTGATACTCAGAAATCGATAACTTTGAAATGTAGGTTGGAGCTCAGTGTCAAGCTATGTGGTGATTTGGACCCTTAGCCTGTGTTCCAACTTGAGAAGTTTAAGGTAGTATAGATTTATTGACGAAGAGAGAGAGGGAGAGAGTGAACAATTTCAGATGGAATGAAGGTTGTCGATGATCAAGGGAGACTTAAGCTGAAACTTTTCCACTTTCTATAGAGTATTAGCTTCTTGGAGGGGAACTTGAGTTGATAAGCATAATTTTATCTGTCTGGGAGTCTAAAATATATTTTAATTAAGGTTAATTTGCATTAGCCTCATACTGGAAGTGTATATTATCGTCAGTAATAGAAATTAGTAAATGTATAATGCACTACTTTCGGGCCAGTCGTTACAACGTATGAGTATATATATATATCTTCCAATGTAATTTTAAAAGTAAATATATCCGTGTATGTAGAGTATTCGGCTGACGAATTCTACTGAAATTTGATGAATTCATTAAATCCTGCTATTTTTGTTTGATTGCATGGAGGATTTCATCATGAGCTGACATCAGTTAGAGAACCACTGGAAAACCTGCAGGGAGTACTGGACAGCTGTTTCGTCCTAGTTTGGGACTCTTCATCACTACGCACCCACCGGGGTCCCAAACTAGGAAGAAACAGCTGTCCAGTACTCCATGCAGGTTTTCCAGTGGTTCTCTAACTGATGTCAGCTCATGATGAAATCCTCCATGCAATCAAACAAAAATAAATCCCTACAAAACCAATTCTTGAAAACCCTGCTTTATTAACCTGTGTTGCTTGTTTTAAATTCGTATCGGTAAATAAATGTTTTCAACATATGAGTAGTTGGAGACACTGATTACCTTCGGGAAATACCTCACTGCCGATTGAACCTTTTGCATCCAGTGAAGCAGTTTCATTCACAGTATTTCGTTGTATATTAATTGTTAAACTGTGAGAAGAAATCAGCTGCTTTGATTAGACACTAGTAACTAGTGTGATGTGTCTAGTTCTTTCTTTGGCGCAGACTGAATTCTATGAGTCAGATAAAGTATAATTATATTTCAATGGTTTTTTATTTTTTTTTATTTTGATTGCAGCTTGATGCCACACTGTTTTTTCAGTACAAGTATGGAATTTTCAGCATGGATATCGGTAGCCCAAATTTACAGGCCGACCATAGATATCGGGTGTGCGTCGGCAGGGGATCAAACCCCGGACCATGTGCGTGGTCGGCGAGAGTCCTAACCACTGTGCCACTGACGCACAATTTCAATGGTTTACACACAATGATGAGATTTTTGTTATTGGTAATATTTCGAGCAAAATTACTGCCCGTGTTCACACCACTGTTGGAACTGAAATATAATTATACTTTATTTGATCTATTCCACAATGCTAAAACTTTTTACTGACATTAATCTATCAGACAGGTTTGCAAAGTGGTCACCATTCTAGGTAGCTTGCCATCATTGTGCACTCTGAATTCTTGGAAAGCTTTGGACCTAGGTTTCGAGCTAGTTGGCACTCACCAGTTGGCTAGGCGTATCTGCAACCTAGAAGGAACTCATGTCCCTTCTAAGATGTGAACCCGCGTCACCCAGTGCCAACTAGCAAGAAACCTAGACCCAAAGCTTCCTGCCGATTGCCTCCAACCATCTAATAGAAATAAGTTACTTTTGGTTTTACCTTTTGGTAAGTAACTGCCATGGACTAATAACAATAATAGTAATAACTTTATTCCAAACAATAATTATGCTAAATGGAATTTTCAGCATTGCAGATAAATAAATAAAATAGTGAAAATAATTGAACTGCAATACGACTAAAGCTAATAGAAAAGTAATGTGCGTAATCGTAATGTACTGGTAATAAGCTTGCCGTTTATTCATAGATTATAAAGTAGGCTTATAGGCTCTTTTCTGACGTTTTCTCACTTCACACAACACCTGTCCTACATACGACATGGTTGAGTTTTTTATACTTAGCCGTACGAGCATAAGTTCCGACGGAATTTTCTATGGTTTTACCTGGAAAGATATAAGGGGAAATTTCATCATGAGCTGACATCAGTTACAGAACCATTGGAAAACCTTGGGGTACTGGAAAGCTGTTTCGTCCTCGTTTGGGACTTTTCTTCAGTTCACACCCACTACCAGGGTTCGAACCCAGAACCTTCTGGTTACAAGGGTAGCGAGCTCGTAAACCACGAAGCCAGTGCGACTTGATCCAATGGCCAGTTCACGAATTCTAACTTCTGCCAATTCATGACACAGCGCGACCACTTCGCAATGTCTTCTTCGATCAGTTACTGCCTCACCTTCAGCCTCCTGAACCCTACTGGTCACGGTTTCCCACTTGAACTCCAGGTTAACTGCATGCATAGGGCCAGTCGCTAGTGAGCATCAGAATAATTTTGAAGTATTGGTTTTGCAGGGATAATTGTTTGATTGGTTAGAGGATTTCATCATGAGCTGACATCAGTTAGAGAACCATTGGAAAACCAGCTGGGAGATCTTGACAACTGTTTCGTCAGCCTAGTTCGGGGCCTTTCAGCAGTACGCGCCCACCATACTGATGTCAACTCATGATGAAATTCTCCAACCAATCAAACAATAACCCCTACAAAACCAGTACTTGAAAATATAAGGAGAAATTTGCCAATAAGGAGATTTTTCAGCACCCAACTTAAGAACTTTAGCAGTTGTTTGCAACAATTAAAATTGGATGAATGACATGCCACTAACTCTACTCACAGCCTTCAAATTTCAATGCAATGTAACATAGTTTTTTGTTTTGAGAAGCCCACGTATGAATACGTCAGAATTATTATTATTATTGTTCCCTTGGGTTCCTAGTGGAACATAGGGCTTCAACTGCACGCCTCCACTTGCTTCTGTCTTGTGCTGTACTTTTCACTTGCATCCATGTTAATCCATACTGTTTCAGTTTCTCATCACACGATCTCCTCCATGTCACCCTTGGACGTCCCACTCGCCGCTTCCCTTTCGGGTTCCACTCGAGCGTTGGCCTGACGCGCGATGTCACCCAACGGCCTCCTCAGCGAGTGTCCAATTCATCTCCACTTTCTCCTGCATATTTGTTGGGCGATTGGTTCCTGTTTTGTTTGTTCCCATAGCTTCTTGTTTGTGATTCTTTCTGGCCATCTAATCTTCAGTATAGAACGAAGACAGTTGTTGATAAAGGTCTGCAACCCGTTGAAAATATTCTTGGTGACCCGCCAAGTTTCTGATCCGTATAGCAAAACTGACTTGACGTTTGTATTGAAAATCCGAATTTTGTTGTTGATGGTGAGTGACGAAGATTTCCAGATTGGTTTCAGGTTGATGAATGTGTTTCTCGCCTTCTCGGTTCTCGATTTGACATGTTCGTCCGTTCCGACAGCCTGTAGTTGAGACAATGCTCCCTAGATAAGTGAAAGAAGTAACCTCTTTCAAATCCCTCCCGTTGATGGTGAATGGCGCTGTATGTTGCTGCTGCTGTTGTTGTTGGTTGGTAATTCTCATAACCTCCGTCTTGTCAATGTTCACCTGGAGTCCTGTCTTTGCTGCTTCTTCGACCAGTTTGTCGGTTTTCGCTTGTAAGTCTTCGATTTTGTGTGACATCAAACATAAATCATCCACGCGCAAAATCCAGGTCTTCTAGGTTCTTCACGTCGGTCAGTCCAGGATATCCCTGTCTTCTCGTTTCCTACTGTCTGACGCATAATCCAGTCCACCACAATTAGGAATATCATTGGTGATAATAAGCACCCTTGTCTGACTCCTGTGTTTACTCCAAACGCTTCGCTGAGTTTTCCGTTGTGGATCACTTGACATGTGCCGTTGTCGTACAGCTGTTGAATAAGGTTGATGAATATTTGGGGTACGCCGTAGTACTCGAGTAGTTTCCAAATTACTTCGCGGTCAACGCTGTCGAAGGCCTTCTCAAAGTCTATAAAGTTGAGGCAGAGGTTTGATTGCCATTCCATGCTTTGTTCGATGATAATGCGTAGAGTTGCAATTTGGTCAGAACATGATTTGCCTTTCCTGAATCCAGCTTGTTCTGGTCGGAGTTCTGTATCCAGTGCGTCCTTTATTCTCTCCAGGATGATGCGTCTCAGGATTTTACTTGGCGTCGACAGGAGCATGGTTCCTCGCCAGTTCTTGCATAGTCCTTAGTCTCCCTTCTTTGGTAGTTTCACTAGGTAACCTTTCCTCCAGTCAGTAGGCACCTTTCCCTCTTTCCAGATCTTTTGCAATAATGGAGTCAGCATATCTGCTGTTGTCTCTGGGTCTGCTTTCAGTGCTTCCGGGGGTATTCCATCTGGTCCAGCTGCTTTTCCAGCTTTCAGAAGCTTGATTGCATTCAAGACTTCAGTTTTCGTTGGAGGATTGGTGTCAACTTGCAGTTGTGTACGTGCTGTTGTTGGTATTTCTGGACGGGTTGTAGGTGGTGGTCGGTTCAAGAGTCCTTTGAAGTGATCCGCCCATTGTTTAATCTGTCTTTCTTCTTTGGTAATTGGGTTCCCTTGGCTGTCTTTTATAGGTTTCACTTGTGTTGATCTCTTCCCGGATAGAGACTTGGTTATCTGATATAGTGTCCTCAGGTCCCTTTTGCCTGCTGCCTTCTCAGCTTCAGTAGCCAGGTTGTCGTAGAATTGTCTTTTGTCCTTCCTGGCACTCTTCTTCACTTCTTTGTCCAGTGCTGTGTAAGTTGAGCTCAGCGTCTCTTTCTCTTGTCCATCTTTGCATTGAATCATTTTCTCTTTCACCATTCTCCTCTCCTCTATTAGCTTCCAGGTGTCCGTTGAGAGCCATTCCTTATCTTGTCTCTTCTTTCTTCCTAAAACCGTTGAACACGTTTCATTGAAAATTACCTTCAGAGAATTCCAATGGTCTTCCAGGGATGATTCTTCCGTGATGTCACGTAGTGTTTCCTGCTTTGCTCTGACAGTTGCAGTGCAAATGTCCTGTGTGATTGTGTCCTTCAGTTTCTGAGTGTTGAACTTGCATTGTGGCCTATCCCCAGCTATCCTCGAGGCTTTCAGCTTCACCTTGAAAGTCCTTTGTACTAGATAGTGGTCTGAACCCACATCTGCTCCTCTCCTCGATCTTGTGTCCAGTAGGCTCCGTCTCCACTTCCTTGAGATTGAAATGAAGTCTATTTGGTTTTTGGTGTGTCCATCTGGTGAAATCCATGTTGCCTTGTGTATATCCCTGTGTTTGAACACACTGCCACCAATCACCAAGTCATTGAAGGTGCAGAAGTCTGAGAAGAGTTCACCATTTTCGTTCATTTCACCGAGGGCCTCACGACCCATGGTGAGTTCTCTTCCTGTATTGTCTCCTCCCAGTTTCGCATTTATGTCACCTATCAGGATTTTGATATCGCTCTTTGGGACGTTGTCCATTACTGTTTGTAGTTGACTGTAGAAATCCTCCTTCTTCCCTTGTTCTGAAACGTTTGTAGGCGCGTATCATTGAATGATTGTAACCTTTTTTCCTTTTGAGTTGAACCTGGCTGTCATCATCCTGGAGGAGATTGGTTCCCACTGCATGAGAGCTTTAGCCACTGTTGGTGACATTGGCTACGTCGGAATAATATAGAACAATGAGTAGAATACATGAATTGATAAATTGTAAGAGAAGAGGTTCAGTTATGCCAGGAAATCTCAGCTTCCTTATGTAAGAAGTCAGATGAAGGATTTTCTTAGAGATCAATAAGATATGACATGATCAAAAAAGATCGAAAGAGAAACTGATACCAAGATAGATAATGTTCAATTTATTTCCTGCTACAGTGCCGTCTATTATTAGAAGAATCATGCGACTGAGTAAATCCATGCAAGTCTTGTTACCTCCTGAAACTAAAAACAACAATCTGATACTTATGGTGTGGTGGTGAGAGCTGGCTGCGAACAGGCCAAAATTGTAGACAGCAATTTACGTCAATGTTATGTCCCGAATCGGGGGCATGAGAAAAAAACAATAACAAAGCTTAACCTTGAGAACTCACCAACCAATCACAGCGGACTTGACGTGTGCAAATACGATTCGCAGATATATGGCTTAAATTTCTGAGAAACGGTCACAAGTAGTACGGAATAAATAACCTTCAGTAAGGAAACAACCAGTCAGAAGACGTTGCTTCTCCGCTGACAATAACGAATAATAATGTACATAAAAATTTATAAATATCTGTTGATTTTCTCAATGAACGATCTGTTGTCTGGCCCTTGTCTTCTGTCATTACAATAGGGGTTCAGTTTAAGGTCATTTGAATAAGATCATTGGTTAACCTCAGGTAGAAGAGTATTCAATATCAGAACAATCTAATGCAGAAACAACTGGGACAGGAATTGTTAGATCATCCGTGTGTAACATTTGAAATAGTTTCTTGTCACTAATCTAATTTACTTATCTTGTCTGTTATACAATGTAAGTGAAGATGTTTTTTATGTCATTTATTATTACTTTTTACTTTACTTTGCCTTACTTACTAGTTGCCGTTCAGCTCAGTACCCCTTTGATAACTGTATCAAAACTCATCTGAATCAAGAACGTCCAGAATTAAATTACTTTAATCGTGTTCGTCTGCACAAAACTGACCGACCTAGATATGAACCAGGATTAGCTCCAATGCCAGAAAGAATTCCAGATCTTCCAGATTTCTCTTTATCTGAAGAGCCTGCACGTTTGAAAGACAGGCGGAAAGTCAACGAAATGTTTATTTAAAACTGGTGCAGTGATTGATTGAACAAACAAACAAACAAATATGGTTTAATCTTATGCAAATTAACACAGTTGGATTAGCTTAGAAAGTGTTTGACATTTTACAAAATTTGTTGATCTCTGTTGTCACAAATATACATATTCAGTGTAGTTAATTAAAATTTTGTTTCTTTTGAAAAGAAAGAAATATTTTTCAAAAGAATGGATATTGAACAAAGAGTACTCTTTTCGATAACTTCATCATCATCAGGCTCTACAGTAATATATACCTTATAGTGAATGAATGAATTGGTGTTATGAACAACATTAATGTTGTTTAAATAACATCGAATCAATAATAATACCAATGGATTACAGTTCAATAGCATCAAAATAAAATAAGCTGAATGTCAGAAAAATTAGGAAAGATAATATTACAAATTCATGAATTTATAGTCTCTACTGAAGGCCGGCCAGGGCAGTAGTAGGGGCTGGACTTGTTTCTTTTGCACACAGATAACTGGCTGTTTGAGGCAAATCGCGATAGCCTGTGCTGTTCGGACCATGCGGTAATTCAATGTTTTTGGCAATTTATTTGGTAGCCGGTAGATTATAGAGAAGGATTCTTCAACGCTGCCTTTGTGGCCGGTTTTCACCAGATGGTCCAATATCGAACTGCTAATGGCTTTAACTACACCTTTTCTTAGCCATAGTGGGAGATGTTCTCGAGTGAGCATGAAAAATCAAGTTCCTAGAGCAACAGCCAATATAACTCGCTCCACAAGCACAGTTAAATTTTGTAAATACAGTTTGAAGTGGCTAGTCTAGGTACTTCATCTTTCAGTCGAGGTAGCACCATCGGTCGTGTAGAGAATAATACGTGTCATGTAGTTCGCCAGCATTAAAAGTTCTTTGAACTGATTTTCTTAATTTCTCCGTAATTATCTCACTTGGTATATCGCCCTTGAATTGTAGTCGTACATAAAGTGGCTTCCTGTTTACAGATAGTGAGTAGTTCTTTTCCGCTTTCTTTGTCATGTGTTTCTTGATAAATTTGTCGGGATAGCTATTTTCGATCAAAGTATCATATAAAATGCTTAATATTTTTTTAATCGGATAAAATATCCACTCATGTTTGAGTTATTGGTCACATCCACTTGGTGGAATTCTCTCTGTGTGCATTACCTGACCGTAGATCTGAATAACCCCGATGGTGGTGACATTTCACCTCCTTGAAGTGTGTCAAGTGCAAATGGTGACTTTCATTTAACATATTAACCGGGGTTCATCCAAGTAGAGCTAGCCAGAATTTGCGTGGTTTTGAACTGACTCGGCTCTCTGGGCTGAGTCGAACCGGGTACGACGCGCTGATGTGCTCGGCTTTAAACGAGTGAAACGACCGTCTGGTGTTTAGATCATGTCGATTTGGCCGGTTGGCAACCACTCCAAGTTGATGTCGGTTGGGTAGTATGTGACTACTCATCTCACTTAGTCAGTAGTATATAGTCTTCTCATGGGTTTTAGACTGCAATTGAAACAGAATGAGTCTGTAAATAGTTCGCTCTGCAATACATATCATTCATTTAAAGTTGTGTTTTATTTTCACAGTTTAACTGTCGTATGCCGGACAGATGGCTGCTACCTTAACTTAGTGGTTGGACTTTCACTGGTTGGAAAGAATGTTCCTGGTGGTACTGCCATTGCTAGAAAGATAATTTAGATAGTGGTTAGACTAAAAGACAGTTACGATCTTAGTGTAAGTAGTTCACACTATATTGTGCGTGTTTGGGCGAAATCATACTGCTAGTGGATAGGGGGGTGGGTGTAATGGCAGTAAAGCGTTCTCTTTGAATAGTCAGCAAGCCAGCTATGCTGCGTGTCGGCTTTGGAAAAGTTTGACCCCGAAAATGTTTCATCTCGAGTTATCTTGAGAAGGTCTGTAGTAGTAGGCGGTAAGATTTTCATACGGACATAACTTCAAAAGTTTCTTCACTTAGTCTGTGTGTAACATGACTCAAGCATCAGGTTTTCTTGATCATCGCCCATATTCATCTCTGTTAACTTCATCTTCTTGCTTTCCTCCCACTGTTTATACTATTTCACCGGTAGGTCTTCCACCTTTTCTTAACTCGGCAACCATTATTAACGACCATAACTAGGGAAACACTACTGATAGTCTCTTAGAACCATACTTCCAACTGCATTTTGGAGCATTCATCAGATGAGTTCGTGAAATTGCGTCGATTGTGAGATGGTTAAGCCACGTGTTACGCACACTAAGTCATCGCTTTCTTCATCCAGTAATGTTGGCTGACATCAGTCCATGAAGTCGTTGACTGTTGGTTCGAATCACATAAGTAAGTGTAAACTGCTTGATTGGTGTCCACGAGACTCTAAAGATCAGCAACTGGAGCTTTTATACCACATGAGGTGCGATACCATGAACTGCAGTACTTCTATGCAAAGTTTTGTGTTAAAAAAGTATAAAACTTGTGCACTGTGGTAGAGTATAATTCCATAATGGATAAGATTTTATTTTGATAAATCACACAGTGTAGTACAGTTATATTAACTGATGACGTTTCGAGCACAAACTATTGCTCATAATCATATCAAGTTGATATGACTATGAGAAATAGTTTGTGCTCGAAACGTCATCAGTTAGTATAACTGTACTACACTGTGTGATTTATCAAAATAAAATCTTATCCATTATGGAATTTTGTGTTGAAAGCTCAATCATTTATTGTCGCATGTTCTAAGTACCGTTGCGCTGATGTAGGGAGTTCTTAGTTGTGCGTTGCGAAAGTCTCATTGACCTCACTTGATGAATACTTACAATCTGGCCAGGTGGATCCCATTATGAACTGGCGTTATTTTAAGACCATTGAAAAAACCCAAGAAATACCACCATGGTCCGAAACGATCGCATTTTCATATAGCTGCTCGGTTAAAATCTCATGAATGAAGCGTCAAAACCTTGGTGAAATATATCTGCTACTCACTGGTTTTCAGTGGATTTGTAGCTGATGTTGGTTAGCGTCGAGATGTGTTTTGAAATCACGACTGAATCCCAACACATCTGACATCTAAAAAACGATCACTTAAATCCACATATTAAAAATATGCTTTTACAGTAATGTATTTGATAAAAAGTTATTATATTAGATAGTTGGAGGCAATCGGCAGGAAGCCGTGCTTGGCCTAGGTTTCGTGCTAGTTGGCACTCACCAGTCAGTAAGGTGTATCTGCAACCTCGAAGGAACTCATGTCACTTCTGATATTCGAACCCGCGTCACCCAGTGAGCGTTGCAGTCAGAGATATTACCACTGGTCTCAGAAGGGACATGAATTCCTTCAAGGCTGCAGATACGCCTTGCTGACTGGTGAGTGCCAACTAGCACGAACGCTTGGTCAAGCAAGGCTTCCTGCCGATTGCCTCCAACCATCTAATATCATCAAATCAATGTTCACCGTGTTGGCGAGCTATCCAGAATGGTGGACACATTGCAGACCTGACTGATAGAATTCAGTCTGCACCAAATAGAGGACTAGACACATCACATTAGTTACTAGGGGCCAATCAAAACAACTTTAACATACATCATCATGTATCAGTCCTCCAGTAAGGATTGTTTTAACAAAGTCATAGTGAAAGGAAACATAAGGGCGATAATGTTATCTCAAATTTATATATCTTCTTCCTTTGCGTTCCCAGTGTAGCATAGGGCTTCAAGCTAGAGCTTTGATGGTATGTATTTTTATGGAATGGGGCTGCTAGCTTCATGCCCAACCTTCCCTCTTTACCAGTCTTACTACTGGTTCAACGAGGTAAAGGGTTACGTCGGTGGCCGGGGATTGAACCCCGAACCACCTGCGAAATTTCTTGCGATTGAAGAAATTTTTTGTCCAAGTGGTGATAAGTCATTGATATTTGCATAATCAGAGATAATGAAATACAGTGACTAGAACTCACAATATCGGAAAATTAAAATTCAGTGGGTAGGAATGAGAAGATGGTGAGGTAATACAGGGTTTCTTCAAGAAAACGAAAGCACTAGCACTTGTTTTTCACGATCACTAGTTGTATTTTCTTACGGTGGTCGATTCGTAAGACATTTAGAAACTTGTAACGTCCTCTAGTCACCTCAGAGAATCACTGAAATGTCCCTATAATCAGACGAAAATTAAAGCAAGCAGAAGTATTGCAATAATGAAGAAAAAAAGTTAGATGAAATTACTCCTGATCTTTACAAAACCCATATTTTAAATGTCCATCTCCAGCTCATTGGAGAAGAAGTCGTGACCGGTGAGATCCACTCTGTCAAGGTAAAGTGGATGATCATCTTTGGCAGTGGTTGGCAGTAGCGTTATGCCACGAACTGATAAAGTTAGAATACATACATCATTTAATTCTGGCCCAAGTGGGTGAATGGTTAGTAAGGTTGACGTAGTAACTGCAAGTTCCCCTGTTCTATTCCTAGTAGTGTTGTGGGTGCATACTGTTGACGAGTCCCATACCAGGACGAGGCAGTTGTCCACTGCCTCCCAGTTTTTAGTGATTGTCTAATTGATACTGGTTCTTTATGAAATCCATATTGAAATGAAAAACAATTGACACGGAACAAAGAGTACTCTTTTCGATAAATTCATCATCAGGTTCTACAATTATATATACATTATAATGAATGAATGAATTAGTCTTATGAACGATATTAATGTTTAAATAACATCAAATTAATAATATTGATAAATTACAGCTGAACAGCATCAACATAAAATAAGCTGAATATCAGGAGAATTATGAAAGATAATAGTACAAATTCATGAGTTTATAGTCTCTACTGAGGGCCAGGGCAGTAGTAGGGGCTGGACTTGTTTCTTTTGGACACAGAGCACTGGCTGTTTGAGGCGAATTGCAATAGTCTCTGCTGTTTGGAGCATTCGGTGCTTCAACGGTTTTGGTAGTTTGTTAGGGACCCGGTATATTATAGAAAAGGATTCTTCTACGCTGGCTTTGTGACCGGTTTGCACCAGATGGTCTAATATCGAGCTGTTAATAGTTTTAACTACACCTTTACTTAGCCATAGTGGGATATGTTCTCGAGCACGAAAAATCAAGTTCCTAGAGCAACGGCCAATATAACTGGCTCCACCACAAGCGCAGTTGAATTGAT